GGGGGGGGGGGGGGTGAAGGTTTTGGGTGAGTATGGTGGAAGCTCTCAATAGAAGTTGGCTCACTCCAAGGTGAAGATGGAGGCCACTCTAGGGTTTCACTTTCCAAGGGTGGAGATAGGAGTAGGTTAGCCGAATTTAACCTAGTGACTAATGATGAGATGTTAAGGCATGAAATGCTCACTCAATATCATAATAATCCAAAGTGATTACATGAAGCAATACCTAGGGTATATATAGATTAGGGTGTGAGGTGGTGGGCACACATTTAGGGTGACGGCTAGGTCATAAAGTGTGCACATTTCCATGCTAAATGTGATGGAAATGCAACACAAATTCATGCCACATGCAACCCTAATGTGACGCCTACTTGGTGGCCAAGGATGGAATCTTTGGCTTGGTTATGCTACAACTAGGTGCATGATAAGACCATGCAACCTTGGTGCCCTCCTCTTGGGCCTAAGCCTTTCTAACTCCAAAAATAGATCCAATGCTCACCAAAAATACGTCTAGGCTTATGTCTCACCCTAATAAAATATCCTAGTCAAAAGTAAAATCCTATAATCTAAGGCACCCCATAATACAAGGGCAAAATAGTAAATACAAGTAAAAATAAATCCTAAAACTAAAGCACCCCAAAATACAAGGGTAAAATAGGAAATACAAGTAAAATAAATCCTATGTCTAAGATACCCAAAATACAAGGGTAAAAATGGAAAGTTAAAGATAAGGGCAAACTAGGCATAAAAATAAATTCCATGCTAACAAGGTTTAGGAGAATGGTTAGTATACTTTAGCCATGAGAAGCATGTCTCTAGGGCGTTAGCGTCCGATCTCCTAACCATGGACCTAGTGATGGGTCCCACATGAAGCTCCAAGGATGGTCCTCCATCACTTACTGTTGATAACTCTTTTATAAAATCACGTTTTATATGATGAAAACAATTTATACGTTTTAAATTATTTTCACTCTAGGGTAGCTGGCATTTTCTTTCTTTTCTTTTCATATTATTATTATTATTTATTTTGAGTTGTTCGGTTGATTGTTGATGTGACTACCTAAGATGGGTCGTTACATTGGTAGTATATCTTTAGAGTGGGAGTGCATTACGGGTGTAATTTGGCATGTACTCCTAGACTACTTTGTGTATATTGTTAGCGACAATGTGTGATATATGATGTTTTTACTAGTGTCACATGCATGCTAACATGTAGTCTGTGTCCATTGCATAATGCATCTTAATGCTATGTGACATTTAATTGTTACATTATGAATGGATGGAATATGTTTTATGATTGATATGCTTATGTTATATTGGTATATGTCTTGTTTGTATTTGGCTGCCCAATTACATCTTACACCATGAGCCAAAATGAAATGTTTCTCACTCCCTTTGTTTGTGTTGCTCTTTTTGTATGTTATTGTAAGCGATCTTCAACATAATGTTGAGGATGTTGGTGACGAGGCTTAAATCTCATAGAAGGATTTTGATAGAATGTCATATCAGGAATTAATTAGGAATTATTTTCTTTTGTCATGTTTGAGTTAATTGTTAGTTTTCTTGTAATAGATTTCATTAAGATTTAAGTTGGTTTTGTTTTGTTAAGATAACTAACATTGGTTATATTTAATCATGATTAATTTAACTTGTACCATAAGTTAACTGAGCTGTATATATATAGTTTTTATATGTAATGGTAGAATCACTTTTGAGCATATATGAGATAGAACCTTGAGTTTCATCTAATCCATTTATTAACTTTTTTATATATGGATATCAATCCATCCATAAAATTCACGTTTTAAAAATTAAAAAAAAAATAGTATTTTTAAAATATTTTATTTTTCTATATTTTCTTTATAAGTCATTACATTATTCTATAATCTTTTAAAATTCACAACTTTCTTTATGTTTAAATAGTTTTTTAAAATCTTAATCCAATAAACATGTCATATTGTAATTTAGTGGATTTTGAAATAGTAGTAAATGAATCGCTAACCATCTATAAAATCAAATTGATAGATTGAATTCGATCCACTATTTATTTTTATTGTAGTGGATGGATTAAATGGATGATAGCTAAATGAATTAATTTTTCACCCTTAGTTTAGCTCTTGTGAAAGTATGTTGGGAGACTCTCAAGTGTCCACAAAAACTTTCACCTAGAAAACATGTCTAGATTGTATATTTGTTTCTTGCTTGCTTGCTTTTACGTTAGTGTGTTAAAAGTGGTTCCAAAGGCTTCTTTAAACACTAAAGCTTTCCTTTTCATTAAGCTAGAAAAAACCTTTTTCGTAAACCTTCCATTGCATCATGAATAAGTACCCACACAATTTCTAAGAGTAGTTAACAGTTTGTCTAGTTCACCACCAAATCCTAAAATAGGAAGTTTAATGGTAGAACTAAAATCGTTAAAGCTGTGGAGGGAAGAGGAAAAGAGAAATAAAAAGAGAGAGAGAGAAAGAGGAAAAAGAAATACTCCTTGAGCTAGAAAGAGAAAGAATAAGAGAGGAAAAAAGAAACAAACTCATGGAAAAATTGGGATACAATGGAAGCTCTCATGGTAATAGCTTATATAGAAGTGGGAGAGAGGATGATTACTACCATATGGAACCTATAGTACATAGGCCAAGGAGAGTGAGGGAACCTAAAGCTAAAAAGATTAAGGTTGACCCCCCCACTTCCATGGAAAAGATAATGTAGAGACTTATTTAGATTAAGTGATGAAAATAGAAAAATTCTTTACTTGTTATCAAGTGAGTGAAGAAATGAAAGTTCTATTAACTACCTGAAGCTTCCAAGGATATACCATGTATTGGTGGACTTCCCTTACTAGGGATAGAAGAATCCATAATAACCCCCAGTCAATTATTGGAATGATCTTAAAAAGGTCATGAGGAAAAGACATATTCCTTCTTGCTATAAAAGGGATCTTATGGATAAATTCCAAACACTTTGTCAAAATAATAGGTGTTGAAAAAAATAAACAACAAATGTAGTTATACATTATGAAGGCAATATTAAAGGGAGAGTATAGAACTACCATTGTTAGATTTCTTAGTGACTTAGCATAAAGATAAGAGATAAAGTAGAACTCTTTCTATTTAGGAATCTAAATAACTTGGTCCAATTATGCATAAAGGTAGAGCAACAATTGAAAAGGAGTGTTTCTCTCAATAAGAATTCCTCATCATCGTCATATCCTTAGAACTCTTCTTCAAAGAGTTACTTTGAGAGTGAACCATCTAGAGAGAAAAGTGAGAAAAACAAACCCTTGAAAGAAAAGGAAACATCCAATAGTTTTATGTGGGAGATGATGACTAGTGAATTGTGAGCACGTTTCAATCGTGCCCAAGCTACGGTGTCATTAAGTTTGCCAGAGATTTTCTTTTGCTATAAGGCAATTGTAACCAACTTGGAAATTATAAGATTCTAACGGCCAATGAAATCATTACATCATCATTCAGCAAAATTCTATCTTCTCTAATTATTCGGTGGACAAATATTTTTGCTCCCCATAACGAAATCCATTTTGACATTGGAATCTCTGTTCTGAGTTAGGATTATTTTCAGTATACTCCCTAAATATCTATACAGTTCCAAGGCCTGTAATTAAGAAAATAAATACACCCTCAAGATTGCTAGAAGAGTTAGCGGTGTAATCAATACATTTAAAAGAATATCAAATCTAATCAAGGTTAAAACCCTAGGGTGCCTTGAAAATATGAAAAACAGCTATTTTGAACAGCAGCATTATGAGAAACCAATAATTTCAATACAACTACTTCTGTAACAATGTATTTCATATTTTTTACAGCAACGGGTGATTGGCAGTTTTCTATTTGCTTTACTTGTATGGATTCACATGATTGGCATTCTCCAACATATGATGAAAGAAGTGTTAGAGCCAATATTGGTTTTACTATACATTTCTACAGCTAATATCTTTTTTACTTGCAGTAAGAAGATGTAGTTAAGACCTTATGGCCTCAGAAGTTTAGGCCCTGCATTAGAGGCCATCCAGGATGCAATCACATCCACAAGCATTTCCATGTCCTTGGATACTTCTGCACGAAGGACTCTGGAATCCATGCCTAGCGAGTTCCCTACTTCTTTGGCAACTGTCTCCCACGGAGTTCCTACTGTAAGATTTGACAAAAGCTCGCTTCCACGATTAACTGCATCAGCCATTGCTGGTGGAACATCTGGTAGGGCCTGCAAGGTGTATAATAAAAATTATGGATAATAACATCACTTGGAGAAGTGAAGTTATTTTTTCTAGAAGTACCTGCTGCAATGGAAGACCATGATCTCCAGACAACTTCCGGATTGACATGTCCAGCACTGAGCTAATGGCTGATTCTGAACTAAGCACCTGAGCTAGAGTAGAAGTCTCGTCTATTAAATCATCCTTGAATTTTATCAGAAGATTTCTGGATATGCCATAGTATGATTTTATCTGAAGAAATAGAAAGCAATAGATGAGGAAATTATATGCAAACCCATAAAGATAAAACAAAAAGAAATAAAAGTTGCTGCTCAGAAATATTACAGGAAATTTCACTAAATGGCCTCACCAAATTTTGGTTTTGGACCCTAATGTTAGATCGATAATAGCTTAAGTAATAAAATTGAGTTGGAAATGAATGACTATTTTTATATGAGGATGAACCTGTTTTCCAATACCTTATTCTATCTCTGGTTTGCATGATATAACAAAATAACATCCCTCCTCCCCCACTTCATTATAATAAGATGCAAGACTTCGTGAGAATCACTGTAGGATTATGCAATAAATATAAAGAACCAGACTCTAAAATGACATTCAGGTAAATTCGTATTTCTAAGGAGTGATTATGTAATTCATGAAAACATTACGATCTATAAATCGGGAAACCTGAGAATTTCATGCAGTTAAGAAACTAGTTTCAACACTACATTAATTAGAAATAAGATTTATGCAAGAGGAGTATTCTAATTTTAACTATATTCTAAACAAATAAATATGCCCATTGCTGAGAATATTAGAAATCTGAGATGTTACATACAAGTCGACGTGTCTCCTCGGGCTTTGGAGAAAAATCTTCTCTTCCCTTGACTAAATCCATGTACAAGGGAGGGAGCTGCTCAACTAAAGGAAGAACCTGCTTCATAATGGGAGGGCTAACGTTTTCTAGTTGTTTCAAAGTCAACTCTGCCTGCAATTATCTAAGATTACCCATCCAAAGAAGTAAAACAAATACTGTGCAAAGGAATACTTTTTAGTTGTTGGTGCTTAAAAAAACAATAAATCTATCCATAAATTTCTCCAGACTAGAGATGACAGCAATCACTATCAGAACAAGGGTTGCAGAAAATGAGGGAAAATTGAAGCAAATTCCTTAAGGTATGGTCAAATGAAAGAGACCACCCAGTTTTTTTTTCCCAATATTGTAGTTGACTACTCCCTTACTGTAACAACCTCCCTGGCCATGAAAAATTGTTAAATTTTACTATGCAATTACTTGACGCACCAGTTGCACAAGAGGGAAATTACAGTAAGCTCTTTCGAGACATGGTCTAATTTAGCACTTGACTCCCTTAGTTTTTAATATCATATAGCAACAACCTCCCTTTAGATATCCTAAACTTCATCTTTTAATTTGTTGATGAAACTTTTCCATTAAATTTTCCATTTCTCTCTTTTCAAAAGCATTTAGTGAGAAAATCAAATGTGAGAAATGTAATAATGTTTCGGGGCAAGAAATAAATATTCATTTCTTTAAAGAGCCTCTTTATTTGAAGTTGCAAATTTTACTTTCATATAAATAAAAGAACACATTTCTAAGAGTTTGACTGAATAAACATAAAAAAGGGTCTTTCAGTGAACAGATTAGTTAAGCACTTATTCAATAAAAATGAAAGCGTATTCATAAGCTTAACTATGAAACTTATTAAAATAAGCTAAAAAGAAATTATGGGAAGGTAATAAGCCACGTATACAAGTCAAAATAAGCTTTTCAAAGCGCTCTCACAGGTTTATCCAATTATACAATATGAGATAAATAGATATATAATAAAAATAAACCAGGTATGACTAGAATGTCAACATATCTGGACATAACTTACTATTTTTTCCAACAATCTGAAGGGAAGGTTGTTGTAATTATATGAGATTTAACAGGAAAGGAGCCAAATTCTATGTGACATAATTTGAGGGAGGTTGTTGATATTTCTACTAAGAAATATTAATAGATATCTTCCTCCATTTCTGGGTAAGACAGTTATATAGCAATACTGACCCCAGCTCGTAGAGTTGGAGAAGAAAAAATATCTGATAGGAGTGGACCAATGGTTTGAGCCATAGGGACGAGCACAGGAGAGAACAAAGGAACAGCTGAACTTGCTTCCTGCAATTATGAAACAAAATTCAGTCAGTCATGATCAGACAACAGAGGAAATTCTTGCATAGGAAATACTGAGAAAATATATTTTCACCCAAGGCAGATTATCTATAAGTTGGTAGCTGGAGGGCATACCTTGTTATTGAATGCCATGAGAACATTTCCAGATCTTTGCACTGCATATCTTGATCCTGGTAAAAAGAAAAATTTATTTATCAAGTATCCACAAATCAAATCAATTTACTTTCTACCAAAAATAAAGTCAATTTACTTTGTATTATCAAGTTTAGCAAAAGAACTTTAGTATACCAATCAGAAGGTGGACCACGGATCCCAAGGAATGGCCAACACCAAAAATAGGAAGGTCTTGAATCTGAATAAATGAGTATCTTTAACATTTTCCTTTAAAAAAGAAAATTGGAAATTGAAAGAAACTAGTCCTTAGATCCTAAGTTGAAACTTACCGTTTCCTGCAGTGCACGATAGCACCTATCAAATTTGAACTGTACTTCATCTGCGATGAGGAAGTGATCAAACCCACTAGCATAAGGAGTTGCAATGATTAATATACCCCTGGTAACAGGAAGGATTTTTTAATTAGTTTTACCCATTGGTAGATTCTAGATTTATGAGTCTCAGAAAGAGCCTGATGTTAGTATTTTTCATGGAACAAATAAGAGTTTGTGAGGGAACTGGAACATCCAAAAGGTTCTACACTAACATAACAATTCTTGCATTTAAATAGGAAAAAAATAAATCAAAACCTTCACACAGCACACTGCTAAGAAGTAGTTATCATACTTCAAAAACAAATTCTGTGATCAAAATGTAACTCGGTGGATTTCAGGAACAGAACAGAGGGACTTACTTTTCTGAAAGACGCTCAAGAAACCATCGGTAGGTAAGCTGAGGGGCAGCTCCAACAAATATACCTCCGATAAAGTGAACTACAAAATTTGGTTTGGAACTTTTGGGTTTGAGAATCCATGCTCCCTGAAATTATAAAATGAGTATGTACTAAGTAGATTGAAAATAATTCAAAAACAAAGGCATGGGACTGTATAACTGTCTCTTCCAATGTGCTTCTGGGGAGCCAAAACCAAATTGCTGCTTTTGGTATTTTAGAAACTCTGAGAATATAGAGCCATTCATGTCCAAAGGTGTCAACTAAAAGACCATAGAATAAATACTCCTTTACTATTCTAGGAAACACTTTTTTGGACTCAGATTCCTCACACACATAATGATAATGATATGACTTTCTTAGATGCATTCAGCACTATTCTCTCTAATAATTAATAAAGAATCATCTTTATCAGATTGCTCCGAAAAGGGATAGCCTTGTTCAAAATAACTGAAGCTAGTACCATATATACTACAGATTGACAAACTGCCAAACATGAATATAATTTTTTCTGTATGATACTGAATATAAATAACATGTCACTATCATACAATAGTGTATACCTCAACTTCACTCCAGTCTCGGGATCCCCACCAGCCATCCTGTGATTGTCTAACAGAATCGGTAAGTAATCTGCAAAGAAAGAAAACAAACCTGTGAGGTACAACTACCAACTGCAGTTCTTGGTACAAAACTTGACAGCCAAGGGAATATTTGATTTGAGAAAATGTTGGTGAGATTCTTTTATTATTTTCACTGTTTCATACACAAACTTTTGAAAATAAAAAATAAAAAACCACATAAGTATGACATTTTCTAACAAGTTATTTTATTTTTCATACACATTAAATTCTGATCAGTATAGTTGGAACTCAGCAATCTAACAACCGAACTGAATGATATTGATAAACTGGAAGAATAGTTTTACTATTACTGTTCCAGACTTTAAAGAGAAAGTATTTGAATACTAAACGTACCTCCAGAAATGGTATAAAACCAGTGTTTAAACAGCACACGTTGTCAATCAGTATAAATATGTCATCACAGTTTATCTTTAAAATTACGTTACTTGAATTTGTTATCATATCTTATCTTTCGGATTTATCATTTGAATTCCGTTATCACAGAATACCTTCAGGATTTAGTTTAAGATTATGTTATTTGAATTCGTTTATCATAGCTTATCTCAGGATTTATCTTCTTTTAAAAATTTTAATTAATGAGTTAGTTGCAAGAGATGATAATAAATATATAATTTGCGAGAGGGAAAG